ACATAGGAAGGTGCAATGTCACAGGAAGGATGTGATGTCATATGATGTATGTGATGTCACACAGAAGGATGTGATGTCATACGATGGATGTTATGTCACAGAGGAGGATGTGACGTCACAGGAGAGATGTGATGTCACAGAGGAGATATGATGTAATATGATGGAGGCGACGTCATAGAGGAGGATGTGACATCACAGAGGCGGATGTGTTGCCACAGGAGAGATATGATGTCATATGACGGATGTGATGTCACAGGACAGATGTGATGTCATATGAAGGATGCAACATCATAGAGGAGCTGTAATGTCACAGGGAGGATGTGATGTCAGAGGAAGGATATGATGTTCAAAAAGGAGGATGTGCTGTCACAGCAGCGATGTGATATCATATGATGGATGTGATGTCACATGATGGATGTGATGTCACAGAGGAGGATGTGATGTCACAGAGGACGATGTGATGTCACAGGAAGGATTTGATGTCATAGAAGAGGCTGTGATGTCATAGAAGAGGATGTCATGTCACAGAGGAGGACGTAATGTCACAGAGGAGGATGTGATGCCAGAGGAAAAGATATGATGTCATATGATGGATGCCACATCATAGAGGAGGATGTGATGTCACAGAGGACAATGTGATGTCACAGGAGAGATATGATGTCATATGATGCATGTGATGTCACAGAGGAGAATGTGATGTCACAGGAGAAATATGTCGTCATATGATGGATGCGACGTCATAGACAAGGATGTGATGTCTTATGCTGGAAGTGATGTGGAAGAGGAGGATGTGATGTCATATGATGGATGTGATGTCTCAGAGGAGAGAAGTGATGTCACAGAGGAGGATGTGATGTCACAGAGGAGAGGTGTGATGTCACAGAGGAAGGATGTGATGTCACAGGGGAGGATGTGATGTCAAAGGAAGGACTGGAAGTCACAGGGGAGATATGATGTTCACAGAGGAGGATGTGATGTCACAGGAGAGCTATGATGTCATATGATGGATGCGACGTCATAGATGAGGATGTGATGTCACAGGGGAGATATGATGTCACAGAGGAGGATGTGATGTCACAGGAGCGATATGATGGCATATGATGGATGCGACGTCATAGAGGAGAATGTGATCTCACTGACGAGGATGTGATGTTACAGGAAGGATGTGATGTCACTGAGGAGGATGGGATGTCACAGAAGAGGACGTGATGTCACAGGAAGGATGTGATGTCGGATTATGGACGTGATTTCACAAAGGAAGATGTGGTGTCACAGGAGAGATATGTCATATGATGGATGTGATGTCACAGAGGAGAATGATGGATGTGACAGAGGATATGATGGATGTGATGTCTCAGAGGAGAGATGTGATGTCACAGAGGAAGGATGTGATGTCATAGGAGAGATGTGATGTCACAGGAAGGATGTGATGTCACAGAGGAGGATGTGATGTCACAGGGGAGATATGATGACATATGATGCATGTGATGTCACATAAAGGATTTGATGTCACAGAGGAGGATGTGATGTCACAGGAAAGCTGTGATGTCACAGGAGAGATATGATGTCATATGGTGGATGTGATGTCATATATGAGGATGTGATGTCATATGATGGATGTGATGTCACAGAGGAGATTTAAAAGATATGAGAAATTAAATCTATATATTTTTCCAAACTTTCCCCACTCAAAATAATAATGAAAGAAAAGAAACTTGCGTAAAGTCGAGCTATGCATACTTGGTGTAACGCTCTCTCAGTTTATTACCATCACAAGTTTTAGTAATAGCACTGAGTGCAATATTAATATAGCCATTGAGTCCACAAAGTACAATAATTGGTATTAAAACTCAACAATTCATCACAGCATGAAAGACACTCCAGTCACTTTTCTCTGGGTGAAATACTTTAGCATCCTAGACTCTGTAAGAAAGGAGTTAGTGAAACTGCTCAAGGTGTGATTGCATCTGCTTCGGGGAGATACTATGACAAGAAATGACAGTTGAAGATAAAAAGTGCTTAATGTTCAGCTATCATAAATCACCATTGCCATAACTTCAGCTAATGCTGACTTCCACCACTCTCCTCAATTAAATTTGCCCCTTTAAAGAAATATGAACTATCTTAAATTTTACTACATTGAAAGAAATTATATTCAAACAATATGACATAAAAATGATTAATAGATTTTTTTTAGTTGTTTTACATGGATAAAACCCCAAAGCATTCAAACAGTGGAATACAATTAAAATCCATTTAAAGACATTTGAGTTTGGGCAGGAGAAATAATTCTTATCTTTAAGGCCTAAGAAAGAGAACTCAGGAAAAATGTGAACCTGTAACTGCAGCATTAGGTGGTTAAGCTCTCCTGTTGAGATAGGAGCTTTACTATCTACTGTCTCCAAAATAATTTAAAAAATACTTCCTTTCTTTATAAACCTGATTTAGCTTCAAAATGCTGACACATTTTCACTCGTTTCTCTGTTTTAAGATATTTATGGAAGCTGCATAACAGCATCATGTTCCACGTTCACAATTTCTACTCCTAATCCTCCTCTTTCTATTTTTCACCTTTCCTAGTTTGAAAAAAAAAACAAAACAACTAATCAATATATGAGCTTCCAGGAGAAGAAACCCCCCAACTCAAAAACTTTTTCCCACAAAAGAAAGCATTTATTTTTGTGTTTATTTGCTTGAGTTCTACAAAGTGCCATTTGACAGAAAAGCCTAGGACTTCATTAAAAAAGAAATCTTAAATATCATTTCTTTCTACATGGAAAGAACACTACAAAATTAAGATACATCTCCTTTTCCATGTGGGGTGAACATTAATTTTTCTTTCTTGCAGAGCTGTTGTCATTCCTGCAATTAGTATAATTTTATTAGGATCTTCTGCATTCTGTCTATGTGTATATGTGCAGTGAAATACATACAAAACAGCCCATTTATCATGTTATAATACAAACATCAGACTACCGCTAGTGCTTTCTGAGTCATCTTCTCCTCCCACATTCTGCACTTGTTTACTGCTGTACTAAAAATGCAATCCTCCCCTTTCCAACCAAACAAAATATCAAACCCAGTCTTTTTACTCATAATCGTAACTTCAAAATGTCTACTCAAGCTATTGTAAACTCTGTACTTCGTGAGCAGCCCATGAGCATACAAAACTGCTGATGCCTTTGAACTATGCAGAGAGGCTGGCACTGGCTGTATCCCACTTCCATGCCAGCTTTTGCATCCTTGTTGGAAGTATTCACTTCACTATTTGTTAAATTAGTTTTACAGCTGTACATAGATGGCCAGTTACTCTGAGCTTAATAATACAATTTAAAATGCTAGTTCAGATGATAGAGATGTTCCACACTACGTATTTTTACTGGCCCCAATTCAGAAACTATTCCAAGTGACATTTCTGAAAGAAGACGGGATGTCCAGTGGATGAGAATTTGGGATTTCGCTAATACAAGTTGTTAAAACTTCTTGGTTTTATGACTAGCATCTCTAAAGGAGCTTTCAAAACTTCTACACATTCATTTAGACTATCTGGTCCCATAAAACAATTCCTAGAGTCCTACTAAGCAGAGCCAACTCACAGACCTCCATGTGTTACAGATGCACAAACACATCTCTGCTTCTCTGTAGAATTAATCTGAGTACAGAAAAGCCTATTTAGTTGAGACCCAGAATGGGATGAATTTCAAGAACAGGTAAGATGGCTTTAGCACAGCAGTTACCATAAATCAACACGGCGAGCTGTATCTGGTGGCCAAGTAAAGTCCAAGTGCAGATGACTTGAGTGAGTTGGTATTTTCAGCCCAGGGTAGGCAATGTCAGGGGAGTTTGGACCCCATATGCTTCCATTTCCATGTCTCCAGTCCATCCTCTAGAACATTTGCTACCTGAGTTTTCCCATGATCCTGGATATTTTATACACACCTCCAATTTAAACAAACCATGTGGCAAAAGGCTGGTTACTGCCCACATTCCTGAACATTAATGGTGAAGTTGCACACTTAGCAACATAGTGCAGCAGAAAACTCTTTGGTTTGTGCTTTCAGAGGAGTAGTTTTAATAAAAGTGTTGGTCTTTGGGCTAGGTCTGTTTGACTTTTGTTTGCACACCTCTGCAAAGCCTAGCATGGACTCCAGTGCTAGGACCTGTCCTTTGTTCTGACATAAAATAGAAAGCTACTTGGGTAAAGAAGTGGTGCTAGTGAGGGGAACATCAAGTCTATTGTGCT